CTCAGTCTGGTTACCTGCTTCTAATTGCCCCACAGGGAGCGTGCAACACGCTCCAGTTCCGCAGCACCAACCATTGGTGCTTGTTGACGAAAGCCGCTGATGATGCGGCACACACGCAGTTGTATACGAAGTCCAATGTTTATGCGGTCCTCCAGCATCCAGGAGTAGATGTAGGTAGGTCGTTGTCTGCACGTCGTCGCCGTCGACTCTGGCAGCAGCATGCGTCTTAGTCGTCTGGTACAATCCCCACACAGTTAAACTTCGCTGTATACTGCAACACTAGCTCATACTTCATCCAGTAGCTGCAAATGCTTCAGTGGGTAGTTGGGAAGAGGTTGCAGGCTGATAGTGTGGAGAGGGTGGAAATAGGCAGGCTTATTAAGGAGACGCCGGCTCGGTAACCAATTCCGGTGAAAGTCCTGACCTCGAGCTTTATGTTATCGTCGGATCGTACATGTCTCTACTACGACCTGGTGGTTTGCCATAGTGATCGGAAAAATCAGGTGAAGTGCGAAATATAAGATTCTCCATTCTCCATGTTATCTAGTACTAAGCAGCACCAGCAGATTCTGCTGTGCTTCCTTGCAAATGATTTGAATGTACTATCTCGTAATAGTGTCCAGAATTATTCTGATCTTTGGGATTCTGTAGCAGCTGACAGATACAATGAATTTCATACAGACGATCCCCTCGGTGGTAATCCCTAGAAATTGAATACTCCCTCAACAGCAATAAATTAGTGGTTCCCGTTGACCAAACTGGCGTTCATACCAGGCTATTCGAAATGTTAGTCTTATAAGTAATTTGATGTCTTATCGATAAAATACGATATTATTGTGTATATCTGAATATTACAGCTGCGAGTCAGTTGGACTCAATTTGACAGTTAGATCCGAAAATAGTGCGGCTTAGACTAATTATGCGCTATTATTGCGAATACTCAATTGTTCGCTGCATTTAGTGTTGTACCGTAAATATCACAGATATCCCAGCTACAAATCCATGCTTCGCGAAAATCTCACTTTTTGCGACTGTGGCCTCGTGAACACAAGACATTTCGATTTTTAATATTTCTAAAGTGTTTATGTGCTGCCACGTCCGATCCGAATGTAGAACCAATGATGCCTATTCTTTTGATTACGGAGAAGTGCTCAACCT